TGGAGTAAAAGAAGAAAGAAAAAATAACAACAATAATAATGGCAACAAAATATACGTCGGGCAACCTCATATTGTGAATTCGGCAAAGATAACTTTCAGCTTTGAATCTTTACTTAGTGACATTTGTTGCAATCTAATGGGCATAATGGATTAGACCTTGAATTAGGCCTCTTGATCAGAATTTAACAAAAGCACACATAATATGCATCCATTTATTGAGCGAGTGGGTTAGAGCGATAATGACCATGCTCACAATAACCGTCTCATGAGAGTTACTAGGAATCAGCCCCATGTCCCCAACTGCGGCTTTCACGGTTCCTCTCATGTTGGTAAGTCCTCTAACGGTATTGTGACTGGATATTGCACCCCTCACAAATGTTGGACTTATTAAGAGTAGAACTCATCCTGCCGAGTCACATCATAAGAGCACTGTCACCATAGGAATGAGGGAGTAGCTAACATGGTGATAGTCATAAATGCATCCAACACTACAAAAGGAGTATAACTTCGAAGGTCAGTGCTCCACACGAGATCACTAATCCTACTTGTTTCTACCACATTGAACCTTTTGCATGAGAATAACTCATCAATCAAAGGTTGGGTTCCCGCTGTTAGTGAACTCTACTATAGGCTTAACCTCATTACCCTCGATGATTCTATGATTGCACTCCTAAATAGACCCTTTGTCAAGTGGTCTGCCAAATTTTTCTCTGACTTTATAAAGTCCAAGGCAACATATTTTCTCATAAGGTTCTGCATAGATTTAAATCTTATTTGCAGATGTATGTTTAACTTTTTATTGATGGTATTTTGTTTTAAAAGTTCTATAGTGGATCTAGAGTTTGTGTGAATAGATAAAGGAGGAATAGGTCGAGACACAAAAGGGAGCTCAAATATAAGGCTCTACAACCATTTAGCTTCTGAGCAGCAAGAATATTAAGCTATAAGTTCAGACTTCATTGTGCTTCTAGCAATCATTGTTTGCTTAAAAAACTTCCAGGATATAGCAGCACCGTCAAACATAAAAACAAATCCAGAAGTAGACTTTACATTATTAGAATCAGTGACCCAGTTGCATCACTATATCCTTCAATCACATCAGGGTATCCAGTATAAATTAAACAATAGTCTGTTATACCTCTCAAATATCTAAAGACTCTTTCTAATGCATTCCAGTGTTCTTGACTTAGGTTACTAGTGTACCTACTTAGTCTACCCACTGCATAAGCAATGTCAGGTCTGGTTCAGTTTGTCACATAAAGAAGAGAGTCTATCAATTGTGAATATCTATGTTGTGATATAGACTCACCATCATGTTTGTTCAAGGTGACTGAGGAATCATAAGGTTGTAGGGTGTAAATTTTGATCTCCCGAAAACAGGGAACTTCGTTTGTATTGATAAGAAGGCTTATTACAAACTAATAATCAAATGTTTACAACAGAAGCGGAGGGAATGCCCTCCTTGTTTAACGTAGGTTCCTCGGTGGCGATAGGACGCCTCGCTCGGTGCTCGTGCCGAGTCTGCTTCCCTTGGACGATCCGATCGAAGTTGCTGCCGGAGCTTCGGTTCTCAAATGAGGGAGCCTTTGGCAAAGGTCCAGGTTCAACCTTTGGGAGATTAGCCAGCAGAATATGCAACAGCCGATCCCCCTTGTCATGTTGGCTGAAGATGGGTTTTAATAGGCAAGGGATGGCATGAGCCATCCTTGATTCATGGGATTTGACCACTAATAGAGGTGAGGGAGCCAGCCACCCTAGCTGTGGGATGTGACCACTTAGGGGGTCCTGTCACCCGCCCTAGCTGTGGGATGTGACCACTTAGGGGGTCCTGTCAGCCGCCCTATTCTTGCTAGGTGAGGAGCGCCATGCCTTCTCCCTTGATTTGCGGGATTTGACCATTGATGTAACTGTTCCCATACTCCAAGTGGGCAGTTGACAGTGAGCTGGCGAGTCTGCAGCTTGGGTCTGCAGACGAGCTTAGGACTGCAGGCAGACTTGGGTCTGCAGGCGAGCTTGCTGTAAGGACCATGAATTTTCGATACTAGTTAATATGATTTTCTAGTATTTTAAAATATTTAATTATTATTTTTAAAACAGTATTTGTATTTTCTTAATTCTCTACGATTTAAGAACCTAATTTTATATTTATTTATTGATTTTGTTAATTATAAATTAATTAGTTACGGTGAAAACTTGTAAATTAATATTGTTGTATTATTGTTAATGTTATTATTGTTAGTGTTTATTTTTTTTCATAAGAATTTTTCCTAATTATTCATATTTTTTTATTATCTTTTATCTCCCCTTAATTTTCTCTCATTTGAATTCTTTCCATAACCCTTTCCAATCACCCCCTTAATCACGTTTATTTTATACTATTTCTCTTCTCAATCACGTGCATCTTTCTCTCTCCATAATTTTCTCTCTTAATACCCTTCCAAATAAGCACAGATTCTCTCCCTCTCTCTCCAATCAATCACTCAGCTCCTTCTCTTTTTCTCTTCTCTCCCCTCAAAAAGAACCCACACCAGTTCCCAACTCCCCATCTCTCTCTCGTTCTCATCTCCTTCCCCTCTTCATCTTTTCTTCCTCTTCCAAACTCCGACCATCACCGCGCCAGCCTCGAGCTCCACCTCTTCCCCATCTGCTCTCTCGTTCTCATGCTCGCTTCTGCGTCGGGATCACCACGCACCTCTTCAGTCTCGCTTTTGCTGCCCCGTCCACAAACTGACCACGACGCCATCAGGCCCCCGAGCACCGTCGGCAACCGTCCAAGAAGTCAGCCCGATCTCGTAAGCCTCCGCCGTTCGCAGCCCTCCTCGAAAACCGTAGTCGCACAGCGAAGTCCAGAGCGACGGCGTCATATGCGCGGCGGCGGCCGAGGGGGCGAGCTTGCCGGCGATGTCGCAGGCGGGCGGCTCCGGCGAGGTCTCCGCGGGAATCGCGGGCGGCTGCGACCGACGCGAGAGGAGGAGCGGGAGAGGGAGATTAGGGTTTTGTAATTGGGAGATTGACAGCGGTGGCTGGCTGAGGAGAGAGAAAGAGGAGGAGGAGGAGGAGGAGAGAGAGACAGGGTGCGCAATTTGGTACCGCAGAACTGGGGTGAATGTAAGGAAAGTGAGGGTCTTAATGGTTCTTTTCCATAAGAGACATTTATTCGTTGGGCTTTACCTAGGCCGCAAACTTAACTAGAAGTTGACGCTCTGACTGAAGGAAAATGGGCTAGACGTGGGCAAGGCCAGAGGCCATATCGGCCCGCCTCGCTTCCCTAGCTTCAGCCCGTTTTTATTCCCCGCTCCCCACGGCCATCTGTCCGTATGCTCTGTGCAGCCTGTGACTATAGAGATGTCTACTCTTATAGTTGTTTTCGATGCGTAGGAGTCGAAACATCACCCGCCCGAGCCTTCTTCTCCAATCAGATGCACGCATCATGATGTGACTCTGGAATTCGTGACCAAGACATATTATGGGCATCGTGATCTGCCTCTGTGCATCGACAGGCACTTGGCGAGTGTTGCAAAATATTCGTTCAAGATTTCTAGCTGTAATCAAACATTTTGGAGGATTTTTTTTTTTTTTACTGTGGATTGCTGTGCTGGAGGAAATTAAATACAAAA